AGAGTAAGGAAACCGCGAAAAGATGTGGAGGTGGCGGAGGTGGACACGCCATTGTCTAAGAAGGCCAGCGTGTATTTCACTATGTAGTCCTGCTCTTCTGGGGCCACGGAATGATTAACGTTTCTCATGGATAGACGTCATAATAGAGGCTCTGGTGGAGATCGGCACCCCAACTTCAGGAGGTCCCAATTGTCAGGGATCGAGGGCCAGATGGACGCCAGGCGCTCGGTCCACCCCTGCGAGCGAGCTTTCGTAAATACACCAGCGGCAGGGCACTGCCCAACTCACGTGATCACCATATGGCCCACGCCCTGCTTCGAGCGCAACTGCGTGCTACCACGCTGGCAGCCGAACGCCACCCAGATGAATACTTTGCGCTCTGCCTTGAGGTGCTACTCACCTGTCAATTCTGCTAGAGATCCCCGCGCCCCCTTTCAACTGCATGGCCTCCCCACAGACTGGGCTGATAAACGAAGAGGGCAGCGATGTGAGAAGCTACCACACTCCTGAAGAGAAACTTGACGATTGTGGCCATGCGTTTCAGGAAACGCTTCGGGGTCGCATCGGAGTCTTCATGGGACTGCCTGGTCATGGGGCCATCTCGCATCGGCACCCCCCCGCCTCCCCCGTCCAACGTTGCATCGAAACCTCTGGTGCGGAAGCGGCCCCGTCACGAGCCGACTTTGAATGGGGGAAGGGGGGCTACTGAATCGATCCGTCAAGTTTGTCTTCAGGGAGGGTTTGGAGCAAACGCTGAGGGTAGACGGACGAGCACTCGACGTGTTGGAGTCGCTGACCCTTGCGCTCCCGGCACCTGTTCCACGACCTGGGCTTCACTCTGAGCCGTTGTTTAGAAACAGCTCATGGACTCCAAAAACATACAACGAGAAACTCATCTGTATAACATCCAGCGCGACGCACCTAAAGTCGCAACAGATCTGGGCATGAAAGAACCATGAAGGCGATCCTTGGTGACGTTCACGTCGTCTTCCACGACAAGGTAGATGGCATCCTTCACGGCCGCGACACACACACACAGAGTAAACGCGCCGCAGGGATTGAGGCAATGCGGGTGCGGAGCGAAAAGAGGGAGAGAGGGGCTGGAGGAAGCGGAAGAGGAAGGTTTCGGTAGGCTTAAATCGGGCATGTCTCTTTACAGGGAGAATATTCAAGAATACTACAACATAAATTGGGGACTATGTTTGAGGATTGTTGGAGAATTTTGAATATGTTTTGACTACCTTGTAGCGTTCCTCCAAAATCCGCCTGTAGGAGGACATGCCCGACCTAGCGATAGGCCCGTTTCGAGACCTGGGACATTCCACAAACGATGCAGAACGCAAAATTTACCCGAGCAGAGCACCGTACCATAGCAGCGGAGGTGAAAAGGCGGGTGGAAGAATCGGACGGGTCGGCTCTAGGCTATGTGGGGACGGTGGTGAGAGCACGGCAATGCGCACCCTGGCATTGTTTGCGCGGGATTGTGGCCGTCCGAACCAAACGTGTAGCCCCAGTATCGAGGCGAAAGCACGGTTCCTCGAGCCATGACGCGGGAATCTCGAACGAAACGGCTGCTGGGCCGCGTCCAGACCAGGCGGTCTCGGGCTCCAGGTCCCCCCTGTGGGCCTCGTCTCGTGCGTGCTCCCCGCATCCTAAAGAGGGTTCTGCATCTGTCTCGGGACACCCCGCGCAATACTTCTCCTCCTCCGCCTCTCCTCTTCTCTCTTCGCACAATCACTCACTCAATCACTCACATACCATCATCATGACACATCCGGCTCCCTTCTGATCATCGTCATCATCGTCATCATAATCATCCTCATCCTAATCCTCCTCATCCTCCTCCTCCTCCTCCTCATCATCATAATTTATCATCAGCAGCATCAGCATCATCCACATCATCAACAGCATCATCACCATCACCATCATCATCATCAGCAGCATCATCACCAGCATCAGCATCAGCATCATCATCAGCAGCAGCATCATCACCATCGGTCGCCCAATCACTCACACCATCATCATCGTTAGTCACACACTTACCTCACACTATCAATCTCTCACGCACTCAATTCATCACGAGCACCACAATCATCATGATCCAAATCTCACTCGATCACCATCTCGTCATCACCATCATCACCTTCAAAATCACATCATCATGTTCATAATCATCATCATCATCATCATCATCATCAGCAGCATCAGCATCATCATCATCACCATCATCACCGTCATCGTCATCATCAACATCATCATCAACATCAGCATCACCATCATCGCACGAACACGCGCACGCTTATCGTAAGGAAGGAAGTCTAGACTGGGAACCCCGTCTGTCCGAATGGGGTCCGCAGATCATATTACTAATCCGAGCGGGTCATCCGAATCGTGTAACTGTCGTCACTCTCGGGCCCCTGAGCTTTGAATCTGGAGGAAGTCTCGTGCGGGAGCCTCGTCCGTGTGTGAAATGCGAGGAAGTCTCAGGCGGGGACCCCCCTTCCTATGGGGCCCGCAGATCGTGTTATCAATCCGAGCGAGTCGTCCGAATCCTGTCACTGTCGTCACCTTCGGACCTAGCCAGGGCGAGGAGGAGAATGACGCACAGGAGGCAGTACGAGCGCCTCACAAAATCACGAGGACGACGAGGAGGGTGACTCCCAAAGTAGCCGAGAGGATTCTCATGCGGGGCCCGACCGTCGGAGTAAGTTCTGGACGGTTCGACTCCTCTGGCGAGGCTCTGCTAAAGAAAAAGCCTGGTCCCCCGAAGAGGTCGAGAGGTCTGCGGGCCACATGCTGAGAAAACCAGGACGCTGGCAGTGTGGAGAGAGGGCGGGAGTGGATGAAGAGAGAGAGAGAGAGAGAGTAATGGGAGAGGAGGGGAGGGGGAACGCGAGGGAAGGAGAAGAGGAAAGAACGAGAGAGGGAGAGAGAGAGAGAGAGAGCAGGGAGGGGAGCAGAAGTGGACGGAAGGGAGAATGTGGAGAGGCATGGAAGGATGAAAACGACGGAAGTGTTGGAACCCCATTGCAACCATCGCTGCCTCCTTGTTTGAAGTGGTTGCGTTGTCCGCCTCTCACGGCCGACGAACATGTGCTTGTCCATGCATTCGCGGTCTGGGCACCGAGGCGCAACCACAGGGATATGCGTCCCCATGGGCACGTCAGGGCATCCGCGCAAAGCCTCCGTGCATCCAGGGGGGTCAGGACCGAGGGTCCAGACCGCGAGGCCGTGGGTGCGAATGTGACTCATGCCCACGAGCAGTTGCGTCCCCCCTCTTCTTCTCACCACTGGTGGCCACAATGGCTGTACAACGATTCATGCTTATTGACACATCCGCGTGCCACGAGGCACACGCTGGATTGTCCTCAGGTCCCTCGAGTCCTCCGTCCTGAGTCCAGAGAATGGAATATTGACGAGCCCGGACCCCGCATTCACGGATTCTCCAGGGCGTCTCACGTGCTGGCGCGTGTTCTCGTGCGACTTGTCTAGAGGCCAGGGAGCTCCATGAGGCCCCCAAGACGGTCCAAGAGGGTCCATAATCGGCCCCAGAGCGCTCCAAGACGCCCAAGATGGCCTTCAGACAGCCCAAGCGGCCCCCAAGACGGCTCCATGAGCCCTCCCCAAGAGGCCCAAATCAACGGTGTCACTCAGGTGTTTGATGAACTTAAGCGTTCTCGCCTTTCTGGGCATCCGACGCTCGAAGACGGCCGAAGAGGCCCCTGCTATCGCTTGAGCAGGGACCGACCGTCCCGGCATTCCTATAGTCCTACCACGATCTGTTCTCAGAACCCAAAAACATTTTCGATGAACAAAAACAATGTTCTTAGAACATAATCCCGCTACATTAAAACAAGATTGTCCCAGCCAGAAATGTTCTAAGAACATTTCCTGGGAACCACTCAAAAGGTTCTTAGAACATTGTTTGGTGGGGCTATAGGCGAGCCAGGACGCTTCGCCACTGCTTGAATCGCCCAGGGACGGCCCAAGAGGCCCTGACAGGCACCCCCGCGCCCCTTCGTGGCGCTCGTGCGGGGGGCGTGCTGGGCTCTGCTCGGCCCCGCGTGCTCCTGGGGCACTGCGTGCCAGGCGCTCCACGCGGGAAGCACCTCCACTCGCCGCCGAGGCCCGCGGGCTCGGCTTCGGTGGTGCCCGGCCCGCTCCCTCCTGCTCCTCCTCCCTCCTCCTCCTCCTCCTCCTCCTTCCTCCTCCTCCTCCTCTCCTCCTCTCTCCTCTCCTCCCGGCTCCTCCTCCGACTCCTCCTCGTCCTCCTCCCCCTTCACCTATTCCTCCTCCTCCCTCCTCCTCCCTCCTCCTCCCTCCTCCTCCCTCCTCCCTCCCCCGGCCAGGCCACAGCTGTTGGGGAGCGGTGCTTCTCACTCCCCTCCTGCCATGGGGGGCAGCCCATCGAACCGACGGCCTCCCGACGGCGGTGTCGAAGCCGCTGGGCCCCGGGGGGGGCTCACGGGCCACAGGTCCCCAGGTTGTGGCGGGTCTGCCCCCGGGCGGCCTCGCCTCCCCCCCTCTGCGGGCCCCAGAATATACACACCACCACGTCGAGTCCTCCTCCCTCCTCCACCCTCGTCTTCCTCGCCTCTTTCCTGGGAGAGGGCGGGGATGAGGGAAGTGGTGGTGGTGTATACCTTTGGGCCCCGCACACCCTCGCGGTCCCCTCGCAGGGGTGCTCGAGGAGGTCGGAATCGGTCGTTCGCGCCACCATCGCGGTGCCCTTGCGGGGAGGTCAGCATCGGAGTCGGTCGTCCGCGACACGGGGTCCTCTCGTGCTTCAGGAGCTCTGACAGCGAGTCCATGTGGGCACGAGTGCGAGGCAACACGCTGTCACAATTGGTCCCCACGATGCTCATCGCTACAGCCAGGATCAGTAATAAGGATTCGGAGCAGGATGCAAGGTCCTTGGGAGTCGAACTTGCAACAACTGGCAACAATCGGCCAGCGAGATTGGCTAAGGATGGGCATGATAGTCAAGGACATTACACATCCTGGGCGACACACCTCGTCCTTACTGGAGGCTATCTGCAAGCTCCGAGCGCATGCATACACAACTGCTCAGGGATCGAGTCCCGACGGGAGCGAGGATGCTTTGTTTCGACAGGCCACTTACCCCTTCGGCAAGAAGAAGTCAAGGTCGTGGCATTGCAACGCACTGTCTGGCGCGCACAACCACTCCGCATTCTGTTCGTTGTATTGCAACTTCAGAGGCCTTGTCTGTCCCGTCGCGCCCCTATCCGCGTCGAATCCGTGGCCAATCCACGTCGAATACATGTTGCTCTCGTTGGATCCGGGTCGAATCCGCGTCGAATCCACGCCGAGTCCGCGTCGCGTCCGCCTCGAGCCCGCGTCGGGCACAAGAAAAGACATACTTTGTTGGGACAGACAGAGGTCCCCCGAAGATGCGACGTACTGTTCGCCGTGGGCGTAAATAATGAGCCCATCCACGCGTGCGCCTTATGCGCACAGCGCAGAAACCGCTGCAATGAAATCTGAAGGGGGAACACTGCTAACACATTTTAGTGATCCGCCATCCCGCGCCTGCCGAAGGAGGAACAGCGTGCGAGACATGCGACTGTTCCCTTCGCCACGGTTTCCCCTCCCCCAGGGCCCAAAACCGCGCTGCTTGAAAGGAGGAGACAGAAGGGAAGTACGAATAAACTCCTCAACGAATGGTGGAAAAGCGCGTGAAACTTCTGACTTTTCTCTTCGCCATGGTTTCCCCTCCCCCAGGGTCCAAAAACTTCGCGGCTTGAAGGGAGGAGAGAGAGAGAGAGAGAGAGAAAACGGAAAAAAAGGAGGGGTACGAAGAAGGTCCTCAATGCACCTCCCGAGCCATCGGGCCTCCAAATCCTTCCCCATCGCCTCCCCCCCAACATCTCCAAACATACTCGTGATGGCGTCCAAGACGGCGCCAGAAGAGCTTCGACACGCCATGGAGGCCACAGAATAACCCGAAAGGCCCTAACAGACCCCAATAAAGCCTAAAGGAGCCCGAGGAATTCACCCCCGCCCCCGACAAAAAACATCAATACTAAAACAAAACGAGAAAGCACAATGGACGAATATGTCCATGTCTGGTTTCCAGACGTCTCCGAGAAGATCCAGAAAAAGGTGGCGGCATCCGAACCCTACCCCCCACCAACCATCGATTCCCCTGACTCGATGGGAGGCGGAGGTAGGGCTCGGATTTCGCCTCGTGCTCGACGGAATCCGAACCCTACTCTCGCCGATCAACGGTTCGGGCAACTCGATGATCAGCGGGGGGTTAGGGTTCGGAGTTCGCCGCCGAAGGAAGCCTCTGGAAGGCCATAACGAGGAGCATGTCGACCCCAACCCCAGACTTTGGTCAGGCTGTGGACTGGATCCAGCATGCTGGGCCCGACTGTGGGAGATACGAGGGCGGGCGTCCACCCTCGATTGGAC